ATTTAATTCCCCTGTGTAACTGGTTAAAAAAAAAAATAAAAGCCAGATGGAATTTGGCACACAACAGTGGATCGTAGAAAACTAAATAAGATAATTGTGTCACATTATGTAGCCATTTCCAACATTTCCACTATTCTGAAAGAGCTAAGTACTCAGTTGGGAAGATATCACAGTGTGCTGGACCTTTCTAATGGCTTCTTTATCATAGATAAAGTCCGGGAGAGTCAAGCCCCATTTGGCTTTCTGTGGTAAGACAATGGATACTTTCAGTGTAACCTCAAGGATATCATATCTCCATCACCCCATCTTGTGTGTGGTATGGTTATAACCCTGGTAAAAATGTTTACCTAACAATCATATCTGATCCCCTTTCAGTGCTCACCAAGGCTACACCCACAATTTTGATTCATTTGCAAGGGAGAAGATGGACTATAAACCCTGACAAAGTCTAGGGCCATGGTTTATTAGTGAAATTCGTGGGTTTTATTTGGTTGGGCAAGATAAAGTTCTTACCTCAGGCTGTAAGAGAAAGTTCAGGTGTTTCTACTTTCCAACACAGTAAAGCAAATTCAAGAGTTTGTGGGGATACTCAGTTACTGGAGAGCTTTTATCCTTCATTTGGCTCAGTTATTATGATCGCTATGAGATTTGCATAGCAAGAGTAGTATGAGACTGGCCTAACTAGCATATTAAAGCTTTTAATCAGGCTTAATGGACAGTAAAACAGACACAAGCCCTTGAGACACTAAACACATGGAAACCTACTGAGCTTATCACACACGTCATTCTGTATGACTTTACATGCAGTTTATGGCAGTTAATTAAGGGATAGAGAACCCTACTAGATTCTAATCACAGCTAAGGAAGGGAGCAAAAGAATGTTATCACTTGTTGAAAAGACAACTGTGTGCCACTTAAGTCGTCCTTCTTGCTATGGAGCCCAACACCACAGAAACACCACTCAACGTTGCACAATAGGCAAAAATAATATGGCTGGAAAAAGATCCATCAGAAGAAATTGACACTTGGCTACATCAAATATTAAAGCATGCAGGTGAAAAGACTATGAGGGCATCTGTGACACTCTGGAAACTGCCCATAAAGGTGTCTGAAGTTGTTGCTGCACGCCAGAACCGTCTTGCCTGCTAGAACTATCTTGCCTGCTGTCAGCATTACCCACTATTTAGTCGGCTTTTTCATTGCTGTGACCAAAAGTCCTGACGAGAACAACATGGGGCTTACAGTTTCAGAAGTTCAGTCCATAAATGGCCAACTCCATTGCTCTGGATCTGACACGAGGCAGAACATCATGGCAGACAGGCATAGCAGAGGAAAATGGTTCAGGACATGGCAATCAGGAAACAGAGCTCCATTCATCAGAGACAAAATATGTACCCCTCAAGACATCAAATTAGAGACAAGGAGTATTAGTAGGCCTTGGACTATATGAGTAAATCCCCAGTTTTTTGCTTTACTGACCCCTCAGGGAGAAGGAGAATATCTAAATTTATAAGTGAACCCTAATGTGTTGAGAATCTGGCCTTCAAAAGTATAGGCAATATTACCCTTGGATTTCATCATTTGAGGAACACTTTGTATCAATGTATAGTGCTTACATATTCCAAAGGTGACTTGTTCTTTCTGTGCCCTTAAAGTATAGACAGATTGGCTGGTACAGTTACCTGGGTTGTGCAGAAGCGTGTATACTGCCTTATGGAGCTGACTTGCTGCTATGTGTACCCATTAAACATTTGCCATATTCTCCATATGTTAATATCAATAACCTATTCTTGAACTGGGCAACAGAATTTTCACATTGCATCAAAGAGAGTGACTGTGAGATCTACTGGAATCCCCTATGACTGTAGCACAAGAACTACTTTTGACAGTCCTACCTGCAAATGAAACGGAATGGACTTGGATAGTGGCACACACCTTTAATCCCAGTGACTTGGGAGGTTAAGGTAGGAGGCTGCAAGTTCAAAACCAACCTCAGAAACTTTTCAAGGCCTAGGCAACTTAGGGAGACCCTAAAAAATAAAACAGGCTGGGGATGTGGCTCAGTGATGGTACAAAAAAAAAAGATTAAAACATAATATCTCTCATGCTTTAACCCAAGTATCTAAACAAAGTAATTCTATCTTAGCAATACTATATTAATCAGCTTAGTATGTTTACTGTAGGTTCTTGCTCTTTGTACTGTTGTTGTAAGATATGAATGAAATGTGCTTCCAGAGGCCTGTCCTGAGAGCTTCACAGAAGACATGGAATGTCAAAGGCTATGAGGGACATGAAGGGGATTTCAAGGCACTCTAGGGGTAGAGTGCTGGGTCGAACACTAATCAGTGCCCAGGAAAGCTTGCAGTAAGAGAAGGTCTCTAAATATGAAAATGGAGCCTCTGCAACGAAAACAAGAGAACACTAAAGAAAAAAATTGAAGAAGCCTTAGAAGATAGAAAGATCTCCCATGTTCTTGGATAGGCAAAATTATTATTGTCAAAATGGCCATACTACCAAAAGCATTATACAGATTTAATGCAATTCCTATTATAATCCCAATGACATTCTTCACAGAACTAGAAAGGCAATTGTGAAATTCATTTGGAAAAATAAGACACCCAGAATAGCCAAAGCAATCCTTAGCAAGAAGAGTGAAGCAGGAGGCATCACAATACCAAATCTTAAACTATATTGCAAAGCTATAGTAACAAAAATGGCATGGTATTGGCACTAAAAAAGACGTGTAGACCAATGATACAGAATAGAAGACACAGAGACAAACCTATATAAATACAGTTATCTGATACTAGACAAAGATGCCAAAAACATACATTAGAGAAAAGATAGACTCTTCAACAAATGATGTAGGGAAAATTAGAAATCCATATGTAACAAAATGAAATTAAACCCCTTTCTTTCACCCTGCATGAAACTCAATTTAAAATGGATCAAAGACTTAGACACTAGAACAGAGACCCAGTAGGATCAAATCTTCATCAAGTCAGCTTAACAAGACTCCTAAAGCACAAGAAGAAATATCAAGAATCAATAAGTAGGATGGATTCGAACTAAAAAGCTTCTTCTTGGCAAAGGAAACAATAACACCAAGACAGAGAATACAGAATGGGAGAAAATCTTTACCACATGCACCTCAGACAGAGCACTAATCTCCAGGATATATAAAAAACTCAAAAAACTTGACACCAAAAAAACAAATAACAATCAATAAATGGGCTAAGGAACTGAATAGACATTTCACAGAAGAAGAAATACAATTGATCAACAAATATATGAAAAATGTTCAACATCTTTAGCAATTAGAGAAATGCAAATCAAAACTACACTGAGATTTCATCTCACTCCAGTCAGAATGGCAATTATCAAGAATACAAGCAACAATAGATGTTTGGGAGGATGTGGGGGGAAAGGTACACTCACATTGCTGGAGGGACTGCAAATTGGTGCAACCACTCTGGAAAGTGGTATGGAGATTCCTCAGAAACCTTGGAATGGAGCCACCACCATTTGACCCAACTATCCCACTCCTCAGTTTATACTAAAGAACTTAAAATCAGCATACTATAGCGACACAGCCACATCAATATTTATAGAAGGTCAACTGATAATAGCTAAGCTATGAAACCAATCTATGTGTCCTTCAAAAGATGAATGAATAAAGAAAATTTGGTATATGTACACAATGAAATATTTTTTTAAAGAGAGAGAGAGAGAGTTTTTTGATATTTTTTTTTTAGTTTTCGGCGTACACAACATCTTTGTATGTGGTGCTGAGAATCGAACCCGGGCCACACGCATGCCAGGTGAGTGCGCTACCACTTGAGCCACATCCCCAGCCCCAACACAATGAAATATTACTCCGCCTTAAAGAAGAATGAAATGATGGCATTTGCCAGTAAATGGATGAAACTAGAGAATATCATTTAAATGAAATAAGCCAACTCCAAAAGAACAAAGGACAAATGTCTTCTCTGATATGTGCATTCTAATTCACAATAAAAGGGGTGAGGCTAGGAAAGAATAGAGTTACTTTGGATTAAACAGAAGGGAGTGAAGGTAGAGGAAGGGTATGGGATTAGGAAGGACAGCAGAATAAATTGAACATTATATACCCTATGTGCATATATGACTATATGACCTGTGTGATTCTACATCATGGATTCTTATAAGATTCTAATAAGTTGAAGCTTGTATGCACTGTTTTATAAGAATGAATAGATCATCATTTGAGAAAAACTGAGAACTTTGAAAAACTACTAAGCTCTGCCAATTTCAACTTTTTTCTCATAAAAGATTGAATCCAAATTGGCTACTACAGTCAGGTTCTCTTTAGTGCATAAAATTAAAGGGAATACCAGTCTTTGTAGAGATGTACTTCTGAGGTCACAAACCCATGAAAACAGAAAGTTTTAGGGCTGGGTGGTAGGTAGCTCTATGGTAGACTACTTGTTTAGCATTCATGAGATTCTAGGTTCTATCCTCAATACCAAAAAAAACAACAACAACTCAAAAGTAACTTCAAGCATCATAGTGCCCATATCTCGGTTTTTAATGTCATTCTAAATAAGTACCAGAATGCCTTGAAGAAATGGGCCATTCCAGAGTCAGGTTATGGGAAATACAAAATGAATCTAGAGCACTTTGTGGCACCAAAAAGTAAGGAAATGCTTTTAAAGTTTAAAAAAGAAAAAAGCAAGATAGTATGTCAAAATGGCACATGGCCCAATCTGGAAGAAGAGGAACTAGTACCAAAATCTGCAACAAGTTGAGCAGAAAATTAAGTAAAAATAACATTGGACTATAACCCACACAATAGAATAAAACATCCATAAGTTGGTATTGATACAAATATTTGAATAAACAAGGGAAAATGGATAGCTCTTCCATACAGAAAAATATATTTAAAACATAGAATGAATCAATTTTTTTTCAAAAACCTACCATTAGGGGCCAGGGTTGTGGCTCAGTGGTAGAGAACTCACCTCACACATATGAAGCACTGGGTTCAATCTTCAGCACCGCATAAAAGTAAAATAAAGGTATCATGTCCATCTACAACTAAAAAACAAACAAACAAAAACCTACCATTAGATTGACAAATTACATGTTCCACAAGAGGATGCCAAAACTATTGAATAAAAGCTCAAGGAGAAATTATATATGCATAATCCAAGTTTTTCTACCAAGATATTTCTTAATTATAAAGGGAAAAAATGTAATTCTATATTGAAGTCCTGGGAAACATCCCCTTCACCAAGGTTAACATCATCAGTAATTGACATACACTCCTGATGTGATGCACTGAGCAGAGCCTTTCTGTGGCATTTTTCCTGAAAGTCAGAACCTCAATATCATCATGGGAAAACATCAAACAAATACAAATGAGGTGCATTCTACAAATTAACTAACTGATATCTTCACTGGCATCAAGATAATAAGATCTTGGTTAAAGAATCATAGTTAAAGAATCATCATTGATTGAAGGAAATGAAATATGTTAGAGTTAATTGCAATGTAGATCCTGGACAGGAAAAAAAAATAATGGAAAGACAAGAGAAATTGAAATGAAGTACATAATTAAGAGCATTATAATTAATCTAATTAATAGGATTATAGTGCTATGCCAATGTTAATTTATTAGTTTTGACAATTCTACTACAGTTAATCAAGATTTTTTGTTGTGTTTTGTTTTGAGTTTGATTATGTGTGTGTGTTAACTTTAATCAGTATAGCTAACACTGGGAAGACAACGGATGCATGTCTTTAGGCCTGTCTTCAAGGGACTGACAATGACTTTGAGGTTTTATAGAAAGGGGAATAAGGGCAAGGATTGGAAGTTTGCATAGCTGAAAGATTTTCACAGCTGCCCAAGCAAGTTGTTTTAGTCAGCTTTTTCACTGCTGACTGAAAGACACGACTAGCACAATTGTAGAGGAGGAAAAGTTTATTTGAGGGCTCACAGTTTCAGAGTTCTTAGTCCATAGAAAGCTGGCTCCATTCTTCAGGGCTCTAGGTGAGGCAGAACATCATAAAGTATGGCAAGGGGAACCAGCTCACCTGATGTTCAGAAAGCAGAGAGAGAGACTTCACTCACCAGTTACAAAATATATACCTCAAAGCCATGCCCGAATTCCCACCTCCTCCAGCCATACCCTAGTACTTCAGTTACCACTCAACTAATCCCTATCAGGGGATTAATTCACTATTGGGTTAAGACTCTTACCACCCAATCATTTCTCCTCTGAAACTTCTTCCATGGTCTCACAAGTCAGCTTTTGGGGGATACCTCATATCCAAACCATAACACAAGTGATCTTGATCAAGTATGGTCTATCATTATCCCAATATTGGTCCGGTGTAGCCTTATCCCAATGAGAAAGTTGTTGCCTTGGGCATAGATTCTACTGACCACATGTCTAGGATTACTTTATCCCTGGAATCAAAGGTTACTCATAGTAAAAGGGATAGATATAAAATGAAGACAGATGTGCCAGGTGTTTCATCTTGCTTTTAGCCACCCACCAGACAACTGCAGGCAAAAGTGAAGAGTCTATATCCTTATTATAATTGCTCCATCTTTTGTCTATTCCTCAGAGTCTTGAGGTAACTGGGTGCCAGCCAATCTGGGCAGGCTTCCTTTCCCAGTGATAATTAATTAGCCTTTAAACAATGGCTGACGCAAAGAAGCAAAAGGGTCAGATGCTTAAGCCTAAAAGTAGAAGTACCATTATAAATTATAGAGCAGAATTCAAAAGAGTCAAAGTCTGAAGATGTCCAGCTATCTTCAGATAGTTATCTTTCCTTTTTAAAAGCTCCATAAGTATAAGATACTAGGAAAAAATAACTTAGGATCAGAAAGTGTATATTTATAACTATTTTATATCTCTTTCTCCTCCTTGCTCTTTTTTCCCTTAAGCTTACAAAATTTTGAAACAATCCTTCCAAATTTTTTGAATTTATACAAATTACTTCTTGTTTTCCAACAAGATGAAATACTTTATGCTTTCTATAGTATTCTAACCAGAACACAGCTGAAATTCTTCATATTTTTGTATGTAGATGTACATCTGTTAATTAGAATTGTAATTCTTAGTAACCTTGATTTTTAACGAAGACCCCAAAACAAAGCAATCTTAAAACTGTTTTTGCCCCCAACAAATTATAAAAACACATTTAATAGAGGCAAACATATATATTTTTTCTTAAAGAATTTAAGAAGTCAAGCACACTTGTATTTAAATTTATCAATTGATTTTGCACTATTTTAACTTATAAATGACTCAGATTTTTTTCTAACAAATACATTTTGTGGCGAGAAGAACGTACCCTGCTCAAAGTTACTCCATAATGTATAGAACAGCAGTTTTCAGACTACATCTAAACTCAAGTTATTCCACTTTGTAAGAGTAGTTGCGATGAGCTACTGCATTTTGAACACAAGTACTAAGGTATAATGACCTTGTCTGTACAAGTAAACAACCATCTGCCTACCACAACCATAAGACAAAAACTGATAAATAAGTTAATCATGCTAGTAAAAATGACTACCAGTTAATTAATCAGAAATTCATGAATGCATGGGTATATCAAACTCATATCAGAAAAACCAGGCCCATCAGCTTATTGAACACACCAGACAAGTGAATGAAGCAACCCCCTCCCTTGAGGCCCATAAATGGAGGGGCACTCTGAGATTGGACACAGTCGCACCCTGACCCAATTACCTGGTTACTCCTCATAAGCCTTCCTTAGAAAATCACCACAGCGATGAACTTCCATATATCTGTCCTCAAGTTTCAGCAGAGTGCCGTTTCTGCTGCTTGTGACGATCATGCACAGCCCACTCAAAGCTGAAGCTAATGCTATGAAACTGTTTTCTGTCTGGACCTTGGCCTAGAATCAGTTGCTGCACTTTGACAGTTCCGTGTCCTGAACAAGTTCTTCAACTAGTTCATAATCTTATCTTCCTACAGTGATCCTTTGCTGTTTGCCTAAGGATTATGCTTTGAACATAATCCTTGATGCTTTGTCACTGTAGCTTATTTTAAAACTGATTTTTTTTCTTTTCTCCCTTTCCCCCTTCCCTCACCCTGGGAGAAGCAAAATTAATCTTCTTCTAGTCCTAGGCCAAGTTATCTGTCCTTCATCTCATGCACCACAGAAATGAAGGACTCGAGACTTCCGGGCTGGCACTGGAAGTTCTAAAAAATGGCTCTCTCTCTCTAGGTTACAAATTAATTATTAATCCTCACAGGGCACAACTGGAATGTAGCCTTTGAATCAGCTCTATAAAAGCCCTCTGTTGCCAGGCATGGTGGTGCACTCCTGAAATCCCAGCAACTTGCAAGGCTGAAGCACGAGGATTGCAAGTTCAAAGTCAGCCTAGCAAAAATGAGGTCCTAAACAACTCATTGAAACCCTCTCTCTAAATAGGGCTGGGGTTGTGGCTCAGTGGTCAAGTGCCCCTGAGTTCAATCCCTGGTACCAAAAATAAAATAAAATAAACCAACCCTCTTTTCCTCCTGGCAATTAGAATCACAGCCTCTGGGACAGGAATCCCCTGTATTTCTCCTTTGCTAACAAAGTAATGAGACTTCTTTTTCTTTCTCTTCACAGCCTTGTCTTCATTGTTGGATTGGCATCAGGACAAGAAACAAGATGTCAGTGTAAAATTTGGAGACCATTAAGGGTATTTGAGAGCATTCCTGCACTTAGAGCAACTCCCCCACCTGTGCTACAGATGCAAGGTGGCTGGTGTACTTGTTGAGAGTCAAACACTGGATAATTAGGAAACAGGGTAAGCATGCCTTAGGTTGAATCAGAGGAGTTGTTCCTATAAGTAAAGAGAGGGCCCAGCAGCTGCTGAGGCTTCTTTTGTTTCAGGGATTTCCCACCTTCTCTCCTGAATGGCATGGGTTAGTACACCAATTGGTCTACTTTGAGAAAACACTAAATGCAGTAAAGTCATGACAACTTGGCCATCTAGTAAGTTCCCCAGGGTGCATGCTGAGACCCTTGATGCCACACATTTGATCCCTCTTTGTAGGGATATCTGTGGCACAATTAGTGTAGGAATCACACTTAAGTGGGAGTAAGGAACCTAGGAGATTTTTCCCCCTAATTTGTCTATTTTAAAGGTTCCCATCTGTCAGCCTTAGATTTGGGGTATCTTCTCTGATGACCTGCCTCCATGGGGGGTTTTGTGTCTATTATTGGTCCTTTAAGACAAGGTCAATGCTGCATTGACCTCACCAGAAGTCTCCTTGGGAAAGATTTTGGCTAAAAAGGCCAAATAGAGGCATAAACCTATGACTTAGAAAAAGATGATGTTTTACTATAACATAACCTGGCCTTTTATTGGTTTTCTGAATTACTCTGTAATCTTGCAGTTGAAGTTGGTCATCAGAGGTAAAGTAAGTGGGAAAAATTTCATATGTGCAGGCATTTATGCAGTTGTATGATAAGGAGTCTAAACAGCCAGAAACTAAGTTGATGGTGCAAAAAAATACTGCCTCTGATTTGCAAAAATAGTAGGCTATCCTTTCAATTCAGTTCTGGGAGGTCTGGCACTGCTTCTCAGCCCAAGTATAGGCAGTCATGGATCATCCTGGGCTGGAAGAATAGTCCAGAAAAGCCTCCTGGGCTATAGAGAAATTGGCTGCCAGTGTAAAATGACATAGCAGTGGGTGTTGGCACTGCTAGATTGACTTGAGAAGGGGAATGATCTCCCCCTTTTAAGATCTGATAGGATATTCCATTTAGCCAGGGGACACCCATCACTGGGGCAGAGCAATTCTTGCTATAACAGTACTCCATCAACCTAAGTGCACAGAAAGACTGGCAGAATAAATAACTGTACACAGGGGAAAAAAAAACTGTAACCTCTTAGGTTCTGGATAAAAGTAGCAGCTATGAAAAATGAGCTGAGCAACTGGAGGATCCTGCCATCCAGATATAAAAACTAAAGTCCTTGAACTATGCAGGCTATACTGCAGCTGAACCACAAGCCGCAGGGTCCATGCCCTCATAAGAGATAAAGGGGAACTACCTGTTTGTCCTCAACACCTAAGGTAAAAACCTCCAGGCACTGATCTAAACTAAGGCCAGAGTATTGCCCAGAAGAGGCAATACTCCCCCACCTTGTGTATCCTAAACCTCTGAGCTTTGACCTGCTGGCACACATTTCTGGGTGTAGCCCTGCCTGCTGCCCAGAGAGCTAAGCAGGTACAAGGATATCCTTGGAGTCCCCATGAATACAGGATCGTGCCTCAATGTGAACTTCACTGGACACAGTATCCTGGACATAAGAATAAACTTAGGTGAACAGAGAAGGTAAATTGACACAAACACTTCACAGTTAGTTGGTATTGCCTGAGAGAACAGAAACTAAAGCCAACTCATGTTTTCTTGGCAGCCCCTGCAAAGGAATCTTCAAGAAAGCCCCCAAAAAAGGCTTAAAGGTAAATGATACCAAGTAGATCCTAAATGGGTATTTGAAATTTGTTATTGACTATTTAAATAAATATTCATATAAATGAATAATGACTGAGAATATATAAAATTAATATATCCATGTTTTTAAAAAGGATAGAATAGAAGGGCCTCCCTCCCTTGAAAATCAATATGCCTACCATAAGAAAAAGGCCCAGCAAGAGCCTCTGAGTACAACTGACAGTGGGGTGCTCACTTAAAGTCAGTGGCATTGGGATAATGATAACAGTGTCAAGTCAGGCTCACCCACATCCCATGCTCCCACCCCTCGAATGCAAGCTGGGGAAATAACGATTAAGGCACAGGGGTTTTGTACATGCCAGATTGTTCAATCCCTCTCCTGGGAAGAGATTCGTTATGTAAAGATTCAGACAACCTTCTCATCCAAAAAGCAATGACTCTATTTGAAAGTGCCACCAGAACACACGCTCTGGTTCCAGCTTTAACTTCTCATCCAGGAAAAGGAAACTAAGCTTGCCCTGCTTGAGGTCTACTAAAAAGTGAACAAGATCATATAGATCAACCCTGGGAAGGATTATCAAAGTTATCCCAACTAAGATTTGTTTAAGGAGAAAGTAACTTGACCCAGGGAGAAACAATACTCCCCTTAAGAGCAAGGCATTGATAAGAATCCCATCTCTTCTGGAAAAAAATTCTTAAAACATGAGGGCTGAGGATGTGGTTCAGTGATAGAGTGCTTACCTAATATGTGCAAGGCCCTGGGTTCAATGCTCCGTACTAAAAAAAGAAAGAAAGAAAAAGAAAATAAATTCAGTCAGTCTTGTCAAATACCTTACAATACTCCAATCCTGCTATCTAAATGTACACACCCACACACACCCAATGAGTATTAATTTGTGCAAGACTTTAGAGCTAAAAGTAATATTATTTAGGATATTCAGCCCTTAATACCAAATCCACACTCCCTGCTGAGATTCCAGCACATTTAAAGGATGCATTCTTTTGCATCTCACTGGGAAGAAGGTCCCAATTACCATTTTCTTTTGAATGACAGGACCTTAATACCAATGTAACCACCCATTATTGTTGGTCTGTCCTACCTCAGGCATTTAAAACCTCTCCTGCTCTGTTTGGTGAGAACCTAGCAAAAGACCTGTGAATGTTACAGCAGGATCAAGGAATCCTTTTGCAATGTGCAGATGATATGCTTATAACCAGCCCCAAATATGAACACTGCATTTCAAATACTGTTGTTGCACTAAACCATGCCACCTCGTATGGATATGAGGTGTCCATTACAAAGGTTCAATTTGTAAACAAGCCACCTATATGAGACTTCAAATTAGCCAACAAACCTGAAGTTTGTTGTCAGATCCAAGCAGGGTATTAAGTTTTAGAGAAGCCAGAAACCACAAACAGTTTTTGTGGGGTTTTTTTTTTTTGGGGGGGAGGGGGGAGCAAGAATTGAACTTGGGGCATTCAACCACTGAACCACATCCCCAGTCCTATTTTGTATTTTATTTAGAGACAAGGTCTCACTGAGTTGCTTAGTGCCTCACCATTGCTGAGGCTGGCTTTGAACTAGTGATCCTCCTGTCTCAGCCACCTGAGCCACTGGGATTACAGGAGTATGCTACTGCGCCCAGCCCACAAACAGTTTTGTGTGCTCCTGGGAATGTCAGGATTCTGCCATACAAGAATCAACAAGTAGCTCCACTGTTGTATATAAATAAATAATAAATAAATAAATGAAATTCCACTGTCATATATAAATAAAAATAAATTTAAAAAAAAAGAATCAACAAGTGGGACAGAATACATTAAAAAGCTTCTGCTCAGCAAAGGAAACAAGAACATGAAGAGGGTGCCTATAGAATGGGAGAAAAACTGCCAGGTACTCCTCCAACAACAAGGAATTAGTATCCAGAATAGATTTTAAAAAAAAACTGAAAATACTGAAGAGCAAAAAAATTTTTAAATCCAATCAATAAATGGGCAAAAGAACTAAACAGAAATTTCTCAAAAGAAGAAATACATATAATCAACAAATATATAAAAATATTCAACATTCCTAGCAATCTGGGTAATGCAAATTAAACTATATCGATATTTCATCTTATTCCATTAAGATTGGTAATCATCACGACTACAAATAATAATAAGTCCTAGTGAGGATGGGGAAAAGGTACACTCGTGCATTGTTGGTGGTGATACAAATTAATATAACCACTTTGGAAATCACTATGGAGATTCCTCAAAAGACTAGGAATGAAATGACCATATGACCCAGATGTTTTACTTCTTGGTATTTATCCAAAAGAACAAAAATCAGCATATTATAGTTATACAAACACATTAATGTTATAACAGCACAATTCACAATAGCTAAGTTTTGGAACCAGCCCAGATACCCATCAACAGTCTGAGCCTGAGGTGGTTGAAAAACCCACTTTTACACTGTAAGCATTCAACTGCACATCAAGGGTCACTCCTTTTATTCTAATGATCTGAAGAGTTCTCTGAAGTCATTCCAAATTAATGGGATGGTTAAGTAAAATGTTTTCTTTTCCCTTCTAAGGATTCTGTTGTCCCTTCTGGCTTTTCTATACCTTCTCTTCTCCACCCTAGAACTCAAGTGACAAGAGGAAGAAGGAACTGACCTCCTGAATGAGGGGAGGCCAAATTCAGGTGCCTCTCCCTCTCCTTTTCCCTCTCCCTGTCCACCTG